CAGCTCTCTGGGCACCTCGACGGACCAGTTACCAATAATCCACACTGTGTCTATAGGAGAAATACAAAGGTGTTCAATTAATGCCTCAGACAAGACAAAATGTACAGTTAACTACATGTGACAGCTCAGGCTGTTTTTTTGTTATGAGCCACATCTGCAGGAATAATATTGAACAAGGTAGCTGCAACTCATCATAATAGATGCCAGTCTTAAACACTATTTCTTCTAATACTTAGTTTTTGGTGTGAAGCTGACACTGTCCACAGACTCCATGACTTCACAGGTTCAATAGAAAACAAATGTCTTATAATAAATACTAAATAATTATTTGTTCAATTGTCATGTTCACCTCATCGCTGTTGACATCAGTAAATATAAGACACAGACATTCCTCTTTTTGTCAGAACAGTAACATGAACTGTATGCTTTGTAATATTGATTTCTTCTGGATGTCTCACATTTATTTACAGTCTATAGATAAAACTTTGTTAATGTATTTCTCTGCTAACACTGACAAAGTCTAACTGCTCTGACAAATAACTAATAACCATGACTGTATATTTTAAAAAGTGTAGTTTTAAGACTTTAATTAAATATTTGGGTTGAATATAATTAGTTTTAACTGTTGTAGAAAAGTTAAATGTTAACTTACTGTTTGTAGAGTTTTCTCAGGATGAGCAGGAATAGTTGATGACAGCAGCCTAGCTGTTAGTTATGTTGTCAAGTGGACTGCTAACGTCGAGCTGAATGGGCGGAGTTAAGTCCCGCCGGTCCCGCCTTACTGCTGTCGTTAGGTTTATCCGAAGTTAGGTTGAGACTGCAAATCCAATATGGATGCGGCCGTCAATTGGACTCATTTTCTGCCTATGTAACAGACGGGTCAGGGTTCGTCCAGTAATATTTACAGTCTATGGTTCACTCTCGCTCTCATCGCTCCCCAATATTAAAAACACATTGAATTAAACACCTGTTGTTGTAATAATGATAACAATAATAAACGTAGGCCTATTTATCGTTATATGCTACAGCTCGTTTCAAAACTAAGTTTTTCACAAGGTCAAAATATGTACAATATGATTCAACATTAAAATCAAGCAATATTATCAACATTTTTAAATAAGAGAGAAAATACAGGCCACATCTTTAATTAAATTAAACTAAAACTCTCCAAACTTCTCCTCCGATGTCTCCTATTCCTCACACACGTCCTCCGCCCCGCTGTGTTCTCTCTCACTGTCATCACTCCCCTGCTCCTCCCAGAGCGCGTCATGTGTGTTGACATTTAAAGGGACAGGCGAACAATTAGAGCTGCGCTCTGAATACTAGACCCCGAATATAAGACGACCCGACTTTTTCAGACCTATTTCGATGGGGAAAAAGGACCAATACGGTATTTCACAGAGCAGTTAGAGTGATAGAGCAGGAGAGGCTTAAATACTGCGGGAAAATGGATTTGTTGTTGGGATAAATTTGGAGAAGTGAGGTCCATCAGGATAACAGTAGAGATGGGATTGTCATTGTTGAATGTCTGTCTAAACGCCATAAGAGAAAAAACACTGAAAATGTGTGTCTTTGGAGATGGTTCTAGTGCTCTCACATGGCTTTCCCTTGGCCGAACGTTTAGTTCTGCTCCCGATCGTACTGAGAACAGCCGGTGGTGAATAATAAGCAAATGAGCTGAGAATTTAGTTGGATAAAGCTACAGTTTGCAAACTGAAAGCTGCTAAAACAATCACATTTATTTTCCCCGACCGTTCTGTTCAGTACGTTCAGTACAAGAAGAGGAAGAGAGTGACTCGGAGGCGGAGCTCTCCCTCTCAGTCAGTCAGTGATTCATGTCGGAGCGCTCGTTCAGTTCGTTCAGTGAACGAAACACTGACTGAACGTGAACGAGCGAGACTGTGAGTCACCAGCCTCAGTCACACACACACACACACACACACACACACACACACACAGTACTGACTGAAACACGATGGTTAGTAGATGTTAAAACAGTCAGCTGAGTTAAATTTAGTTGGATATAAAAGCCGTTTGTAAACTGACAGCAGATATAAAAAGCACAAACATTTTCGCGACACCTAAATGTTAAATAATATATTTTCTACTTCCTCAATTTTGGAGACATGAGAGGGAGAAGTAGGGGCGGGCTTTAGTGACACAGAGCTCCCGACCGACTCCGTCCTGTTGGTTCAGTCAGTACGTATCACTGACATGAGAGGAGAGGGAGGGCGGGCTTTGAGAGACTCTTATGGTCTGGAGAGAGACACGAGACGGGAGAGAGGAGAGAGCAACTGAAGTTGAGAAATGAACGACTCTTTTCAGTAAGTGATTCAGTTCAGTTCGTTCACCCAGATGATTCGTTCGTTTTGAACGAGTCGTTCACGAACTACACATCACTATAGTGTATTTAGATAATGTTTGCTACAGAGTGAGAGCTTATGAGAGAGCTCCTCTCAGGTGTTTCTGCTGTCAGGAGTACGGCCATGTTGCTGCAGCGTGCAGAGGAGTTTGAAGATGAGGAGGAAATGTTTGTTTTGACTCGACTGCTGATGATGATACCCACATTCTCACCAAACAACTTCCCCTTCACTTTTTAGAAAAGACTCAAAATGATGCGTCAGCACATCTCAGAGCACTAAAATAACATCTGATCTCTGATCTCTCAAACACGACGGACATTCAGAGTTGTATTCAGGAGGTCAAGGAGTTTGACCCTCCATGTTTTGTTCACTTTTTGCTCACAGACATCATTTTTAACTTAACTATTTTCTCAGAAAGAGGAACGTTGCACTTCTCAGAACTCACAATTTTCACACATTTAACTGAACAGTTGTGAGCGTGAGAACGGGAGGACAGAGACAAACAACTTTTTCTTTACTTCATTCTTTGTCAGTTTCTTAACTGCAGCAGCTCGAGGTAAAAGAGTGACATTCAGAGTCGGTGAGGACGCCACGTTCTCTAGTGAAAATGTGATACAAGGTCAACAGGAGTGATGTTGTGTCCTCCCTTTCTCCTTTCTGAAAACCTCTCATTCTCCTGGCTTCACTCCTTCAATGGTCAGAAATGACTCTGCCTTTACAGACGGTGGTACAGCGATCAGCACGCCCTTCTTCCTCGCCTGTGAATATACAACATGGATCTTTGTTGATTCAGGAAACACTGCAGTAGAGCTTGTTATACACAGTGGTGTAGTGCAGGGTATAAGCAGGTATAAGAAGTAGACCCACTTCTAAATCTCCTCTGATTCTCACTATTGAGTGATTGACAGTATGCAGTAGGATGCTGCAATTCCTATAGGATGGTGAAGGGATGACCCTCCCTACTCTGTCTCTAATTGGCTAGTACACACTAACTAACTTAATATTCAAGAGGAGGCCTATGTGACTGTTAGTAACAGAGGCCGTGTATCCTCTGCTGGACGGGACACTTGGGGAGAAATGAAGAGTATGCCCACTTCTTCAGTCAGGACTACACCACTGGTTATACATGAACAGGTTAGAAACCTTTGAGTGAGGTCAGACATCATTAATAAACCTGACTGTGTTCTCAGAAACACCATCTAAAGAGGAACGTTGCACTTGTCAGACGTTTATCTGAACTCACAATCTTCACACATTTAACTGAACAGTTGAGAGCGTGAGAACGGGAGGACAGAGGGACGGACCTCTTCATACACTGATCACAGTTTGACAGGATCTCCGTCAATCTGCTGTGACCTCTGACCTCTGACATCTTTACTGATCGATGCAGCTCATCTTAATGATCATCAGTTTATGATCACTTAAACATGTTACATCATGTTTTAATAACTATGACACATTCATAGAAGTGAACACTTAAAGCAGGCTTGAAGTCAAAATGAGGAAGTGATGACATACTAAGAAAGGGAAGTAGATGCAGCGTCTCTTTAAAGAAGCACTACTGAAGAAACTCAGACAGTTAGGAGCGTGACAACGGGAGGACAGAGACGGAGAATCACCATGAACGAGCTCAAATGGATTCAAACTTCTTTACTTCTCACAGCGCTGCTTCAGTTTGCTGGTAAGAACATTTATATCACATATTTAACCTTTTTTTAAACATGATGGATTTAATGAACTCTGAGAAACCACAGATGAAGAATTATTCTCAAACTGATTGTGAATATAATCAACATTTTATTGATTTACTTTATTCTTTGTCATTTTATCAACAGCAGCAGCTGGAGATAAAGAAGTCACAGTCAAAGCTTCACCTGGAGAGAACGCCATGTTGTCTTGTGAAACTGTGATACAAGGTCAACAGAAGTGTGAATATACGACATGGGGCTTTGTTGATGATGATTTAAGAAACAAGGAAGTAGTAGACCTGGTTGTAAAAGGTCAGGTTAAAAACTCTACAGTTAAATCAGACAGACTGAGAGTTACAGAGGACTGTTCTCTGGTTATAAAGAAGATCACAGAGGAGGATGCTGGAAGTTATCTCTGTCAACAGATCAAATCAGGAAGAATAACAGGCGATAAGACTCGAGTTCATCTCTCTGTTAACAAGAGTAAGTATTTCAATAATCTTTACAAACAAAACTTTTCTAATTCAAACAATAAACTGAAACATTACAATAATTATAAAGACTTTGATGAAGTTAATTTGTCTCTTGTTGTGTTTCTCTTATAATATCTCCATCCTTACTTTGGACTGGAAATACTTCAAATATTAAAATGTTTCTTTGGATTTGAAGTTTGAATTTTATATGAAAACACAAGTTTAGTGCTGAACAGTTTATTGAGTTGTGTTTATCTCAACTTCAGGTGAGGACACCAAACCAGAACCAACAAGACCACCAACAACAACAAGACCACCACCAGCACCAGCAACAACAAAACCACCAGCAACAACAACAAAAACAACAACTCTTGCCGGAGGTAGAGTCTCCTGTTGTCTTCTGCTCTCTGTGTTTGATTCTGATTAAGGACAGAAGTCTGAGGTCATCATGCTTCACATGTTTTCATTTTTCTGGCAGACTGGCTTTGGTGGTGGATCCTCGTGGCTGTGGTGGTTTTTATAGTTCTGTTAGTGGTCGTTGTGAAAGTCATCAGACAGAAAGGTGAGAGCACAGATGAACATTTTCATGCAGAAAAAAACTTTAATAACAGAAGTTTAATGTTTGTTAGCTTCAGTTTACCAACACATTTTAATATCTAGAAGTTTGGATGATCCATATTTCTTGTTTGGAAGCTAAAGTCCAGCTGTTTCTGTGTCTCTGCAGGAAACAGAACGCAGATGGGTGACGATGTTGTAAGTCCCAAAACGTTTAATTATGATGTTTGTTCTGACCGGCTGCTGAAGAGACTTGATAAATTTAGACATTATGAGGGTCATTCTTTGGATACCATCATACGAGCCTTATAAATGTCATCCTGCATGTTCAGAAGAAACATTTCTGTTAAGACACAGAGAAAGAGTAATCAGCAGAGCAGAAGGGATTTTTTTTAAAGAGCAGAAACCAAAATGCCAAAAATAAATAAATATTCATCCGAGCCCCCCCTCCCCGCCTGAAAGTCACAACTTCCTTAGATTAGTGTGATAAATTGCTCTTCAGTCTTCAGAGGGTGACAACGATAAAAAGGGAAGTTTGATGGTGGTGCAACTTCAGAGCACCAGGAACGTATCACACTGTGGGCTCACAGATTGGTTTTCTTTCTATCTTGCTGACAGAACATTCTCAGTACGTAATGGTGATGGTGTCTCTGAGTCTTCTGAGTTATGTGGGGTACCACAGGGCTCTGTCCAGGGGGCCCTTGCTCTTCTCCCTTTATCTGCTACCCCTAGATAAGATCATAACCAGTTTTTTTTATTTGCTCCAATCAAAAGCACAGGTCACGATAAACATTACTGAGCAGCTGTTTTGTTGTCTTCTCTGTGTAGGCTGATCCTGAAGGCGGGGTTTCCTACGCCTCCATCAGATACAACAAGAAGGGGAAAAGAGGAGCTCGGGTAAGCTGTCTGATTGGTTAAAGTCAGGATGGATGTGAACTTTTATCTGAACATTTAGAATTCATTCCATTTATTTTAGCTTTACTAACAACAGCTTAACTTCATTCTCAACATGTCGACTTTATTCTCCATGTATCAACTTGCACTTTGCATATAATGACGTCATTTTGTGTTATTTAATGCTCTGTGATCTATCTCCAGGTTTGTGCTAAAGACGATGCTGACGATGGTTCAGTGATCTATGCCTCCGTCAAAGTTTCTTCTTCTTCTTCTACTGCTGCAGGAGCCTCTGCTGATCCCAGCATCCTCTACGCCACCATCAACAAAGAGAAGAAATAAGAATCCAAAGTAAAGTCACAGCTCAAGTTTTTTCAGCATTCTACACTGAAAACTACGGAGCCCCACAAGGCTCAGGTAGGACAAAATAAAAAGCAATTTGTAAATCCTTTGTTCACAGTTTACAAATCTGTGCGCACAGTTTATAAACAGTGCCCATGGATTTGTAAACCGTGTGCACGGATTTGCAATCTGCAGGCTCACTTTCAGTTTAGGAAACCGTGCGCACTCTGTTTTGAAATCTGTGTGCACCATTTAGGAATCTGTGCCCACAGATTGTAAATCAGTGTGCATGGATTTGCCGAAATGATCGACAGCTTTTTATTTTTTGTCTCACCTGAGCTTTGCAGGGCTCAGTAGAAAACAGATACTGATAGATGTGTTTGTATAAGACTTTGTGTTGTTAACTTTCAAGAGTTATTGCTTTAAGATGCTTTTTTTCTCCAACAAATGGCGATGTAAGGTTAGCACAAACACCTAGCATTAAACCTCTGCATGAAATTTAAATTTACGGAGACTCTGAAGTCCCAAAAAGTACAAAAACTGAAATCTTGTGTGAACATGATAATTATATAAAGGACTGGTATTCAGAAAATCCTTTGACTACATGCTAGTGTGTGTGAGCGCTGACTGTTTCTTCTCTTAATCCTTGCACACAGGATATTCACTTGTGAGCACAACATAGCATCTTGTGCACAAGTTAGGCCGTGTTCACACTTGACTTCTGCGCTGCCTTCAGTGCCTTTTGAGCGCTTTTGCGCAAGTGTTCTGTAACCATAACAACGGGATCTAGTCTGCGGTGCAACCGTGCCGGAGCACAACGCATCAATTTAGCACAGAAAAGAACAAACAGGACGGGAAGTCAGACACCGATACGACATTAAAACATCCGGTTTATTTTCAGAATAACACCCTCCGTTTTGACGGTTCAGAAAAACCACCGTTTGTGTGTTTGTTTATGTGTTTATAAGGTTTTTATTGAGTTTTATACCACGAACATCGTATTATCTCGTGCTGTTAAATTACCAAGGAAACTCCTGTGTCTCTGTACTCCAGCTGTCCGTCTGTGCTCTCCGTGCTGCAGACTGAGAACGCAGCCGGTGGGTGTTGACGGATGAGGATGCACGGACCTGTAACAGACCGGAGCGGACACGCAATGCACACAGATCTGGTGGGAGTTTGCCGTTTTTGGGCACAGCTAACTAGGGACGTAGGTTACTACTCGTCCTGATTGGTCAGCTGTCAGAAAGGCGCTTGACGTCACCCAGCACTTTTCTGAAAAGTTAAAAAAATTCAACTGAAAAAGGCGTCGGGCGCAGCGCTTTTGAAAAGGCGTCATACTTTTTCCTTTTTCCATAGGCTTGTGTGTAAAAAAGGCGCTGGCAGTTGAAAAAAGAAGTCAAGTGGGAACACGGCCTTAGATGACATCTCAAGTGCACAAGATATTTTTTCCACTTTTTAGGACTTCAGGAGCTCCATATAAACCAGCTTTTTAAAAAGTTTATATACGCAGCAGGCACTTTGATGTGCATGTGTTAAGTTGTAGTTAAAGATTTTTACACTTTTTTATTATTTCTGTACCTGTTGTCTTTTGACCTGCATTCATTTAAACATCGATATCATCATTGCTCAGATCATTCTGTATGCTCTGAGTCACATCCGAGAGTCTGTAGAAACCCAAAAAAGGTTAAATCGACAGAGTGTGAACTTCATGACAGATAAAGGAGGAACCAGAAAGCAGATGTGGTCTGCCCACATTCAAGCAACAAGTGTTATTTGTGTTTAAAAAAAGAAAAGATTGCTAAACACTGTGAGAGATTTACACTTTACTAATTAGAGGAAGGTGAGGAATAGTTCTCTTGATGCAGCTCCAGGTTAGACGCTTAAAAGAGAGAGGAGAGAGACATGAGGGTTCAGTTGTTGAATTGTTTTCTTTTGAACGTCATAAAAAAGCTCTTCAACTCGATTTAGGGGGGAATATTATTACAAGAACTTCATTTCATTTTTCCATTCTTATACCTTAAACACAGTTAGTCTGAGTTTTGTAATAATACTTCTTGTGTGCAGCTCAATGTGTTCAATTTTAAGTGAAATGTATATGTTTGTTTGTCCCATATTCTGCTTTTTCTGGTTTTATATGCTCTTTAGTGTGTTTTCCAAGTGTCCTGTGCATGTTTCGGCACATGTATGTGCAAAAATTCAAAGTCAGCGGAAATGCTGCTTCTCCTACGTCCTCCTGTTAGCTGTAGCATTAGCCGCATGTAACGCTCGGTTCTAGCCCCCATCGATAAAAATGTGTCAGTGCGACGTCATTGTCAGTGTGAGATCACTGATCTAAGCCCATTGGCTCGTTGTGGCAAGCCCTGCAGCTCATGTTGAAATTTCAGAGAAGCGTGCTGAGCAACTGACCAATAACGACAGAACGGATCAGCAGACCAATCAGAGCAGACTTGGCCCATGTGGGGTCTAACAGTGTGGGCTCAACAGAGTGTAGCTGACGGACTCAGAGCGGAGAGGGAGCCAGGAGGAGCAGTTCATGAAAACAGACACTTTTTTCAGACTTTAGCTATTGTGAACGTACAAAAGTAGGAACATAGATTAAATATACGAACCCCAAAAAGGGCAGAATATGGACTCTTTAATGTTTAAATCCTGGAAAATATGGAGGCAGCTATAGGCTTCTGTTGTTGATCTGATGGTCTGTTTCTTTGAAAAATATTTTTATTTACATTCACGTCGATGATGAGCGACATTTACCTGCCCAGTGAGACTAAAGGGACAATGTGAGACGTTTTACACATGAATATATCAGAAATCAAGTCTATCCTGTGTGAATGTGTCTCTGAGTCATGACTGTCTACAGTGAGGGAGAAGCTCGAGTCCCGCTGGCTGTGTTGTTGTCAGAGCCGTGTTTACATGGACGGGACGGCCGGCTCCTCCCCTTGTGTATAAAAGCTGTTTTAGTCAAGAACTAGAGAGAAGAAGAAGAACATAATCACTGATTATTTTGATATCACATAAGCATTTTTAGATTGTTATCTGTATCAATTTATATACAATGTGAAGCTACAAGCTAACTTAACTTTGCTAACATTAGCATGCTAACACAACAATGCAGACCACAGGCAATTGCAGCTCGAGCAAAGGAAGATTTAGTCCACCGCTTACGCTTAACTCCTTAATGGGAACTTGAGTGGAGAGGGGTTGGAGGTGTGTCTCTGGAGGAGAGCGGAGCATTCCTTTATCATTGAACAGAAAGTATTGATGATATCTTTTCGATGTGATTGAGGTTTTTTAATTGTTTTTGCACATTTGTGAGACACTGAAGAACTCTGTAATGTCAAATCTGTTACATCAATCTCCTGATCTTCTGTATCAATATTAATGACATCAAACGTGTGGATTTACTCTTTATCACTCTGGCAAGCTTTAGGATAAATGTTTGGAGAGCTTACTGCTTAATAAACTGAAAGGAGAAGAAATGTGTGTATTAACATGTGATCATTTCATTATTAAAAACACATCTGCAGGGTCATTAAAGGTGTTTTCAGACCTCAGGAACTTTTCTATAATTCTAGAAAGTGTTGGAAGTCTCCCCCTCTTTACTGATTCCACACCGCAGGAACTGTGATGGCATATCACAAAAGGCCAAATTAAATGTCTGTAAATCTGTAGTGAGGATAAAGAACAGGGAGTTCATCAGTCACATTAACAGCCTTCAAGAAACAGACAGAAAGTCATGCAGTGTCATGCTTGTATTCCAGCTGGATGAAGTGAAATCAGACAGACTGAATGTTACAGAGGATTGTTCTCTGGTCATAAAGACGGTCACAGTGAAGGATGCTGGTTGGTATGAGAACGACTACAGAAATACAAACAACTCAGGATTTGATTTTTCTCGTCTTTGTTGAAGGTGAGCATTTATATTTAAATGTTTTCATTGTATGTGTAAGCATGTAAATTAATTTATTGTGTAAATACATTTTATGTGTAAGCATGTAAAAATGTCCAGTTAGCAACGTTAGCACCAGCACTGGTTTGGTTACGTCTCCCATCACAGTAATCTCATGTAAACAAAAGTGACAGCATCGCACGGTGACGTCAAACGGAGGAGAAACCGGCGCACAGTGTGAAGTCACAAACCCAAGACTCTCCCCGTCCACACATAAACACTTTAAATGGAGTTTATGAAAATCTTCACCCTGGAAGGATTTTCATCCACTGTTCCATATCTCCAAAAGTAAATCTTAAAGATTAGCATCAGCAGCATAGATCCCAGCAGCCTCTAAGCCACCATCAACAAAGTGAAGAAATCTAAATGATCGACAGCTTTTTATTTTTTGTCTCACCTGAGCCTTGCAGGGCTCAGTAGAAAACAGATACTGATAGATGTGTTTGTATGAGACTTTGTGTTGTTTGTCTTTTTAGGACTTCAGGAGCTCCATATAAACCAGCTTTTTAAATAAGTTTATATACGCAGCAGGCACTTTGATGTGCATGTGTTAAGTTGTAGTTAAAGATTTTTAAACTTTTTTATTATTTCTGTACCTGTTGTCTTTTGACCTGCATTCATTTAAACATCGATATCATCACTGCTCAGATCATTCTGTATGCTCTGAGTCACATCCGAGAGTCTGTAGAAACCCAAAAAAGGTTAAATCGACAGAGTGTGAACTTCATGACAGATAAAGGAGGAACCAGAAAGCAGATGTGGTCTGCCCACATTCAAGCAACAAGTGTTATTTGTGTTTAAAAAAAGAAAAGATTGGAAGTCACGTGGATGCCAAGAAAGATGGCTGCACAGTAATTTAGCTCCGGTTAATAGCCCTAAAACTTTGTTAATTAGAACGTTTTTATCCCACCTTTCTCGGTTATAATTGCGCCTGCAGTTATATACCCATATGGAAAAGAAACAGAAAAAACATGTAAAATATTTCATTGCCTGCAATATGCAATCTTTATATTTTACATGTATTGAATGTCTTACAAGACTTGTGTGTCTCATACTATGATTTACTCATGAAAGTGGCCACTTTTGCATTTTTCTCATACAATGTAATTATATGAATTAAGCATACATTATGTATGTAATTTACATGTAAAATGCATTAAAAGATGTTTTTTTCTTATAAGGTCCATATAATGTTCTTATATATATTTATACATGTCTGTTTTAAAGATTTACATTATTTTTACATGAATAATTGCCTTTTTATATATGTTTTTTATATCTTTAGTGTCTCAAATAATTAAAGAAAACTATGCTTTCTACATGTTTTCTATAAGATTTGTTTCTGTCCAACAAATACAATTTTATAAAAATTATATAGTCTCATTACATGACAAAATTATGTTATGTGTTTTTTTTTAGTTGTTAAATGTATTAAATAACAAATAAATCTATGCATTTTTTACATGATATTTATAAGATTGTTATATGTAAAACAATTGAACAATATCTACTTTTCAGGTGAAATGGTTAGCCTGGTCAGCACCCAAACACTTTCTACTACACAATGGTGTAAATGCAGTTTGTATAAGTGTGTAATATTGAAAGCAGGGCTGTGAGGCAAACTTTTAATTCAAAAGTCTTTATTAAAGTCAAACCCTGCAGGTATTACAATGCCTACAGCAGTACACAAGCAGCAGTAAACATTAGTCTTAAAGAACAAGACTTTTTGCTAGATAAGATAACAATTGAATTTACTTTTGACAAGTTAGGAATATCTTTAAGTTTGTTTCAACATTTTAACATATGTCATGCCTACAGACATGTCGAGGACATACATATTCTATTCCTATTCTTTTTAGGGAATGTTGTCAACAACAAACTACTGCCATTACAAACAGATGCACTCTACA